TGCATACAATGATAATCACCCCGTGTGGAAGACTCTTGAGTTGATGCGATGGGAATAGCAAATAGGATGTGGATAGTCTAGTCTGTACTCGTCGTTATCATCATCTCTTTAGTTTAGAGTCATATTTATCTTGTGTTTTATGTTATCCACTCATTTATTCATCCATTTCCATCTTCATTTTCAATTGTGAAAGATTTATGAGATATAGAATATGAAATATGAAATATGAAATATGAAATATTAAATATTAAATATTAAATATTGAAGGAATCTGCATCTGAGTTTGAGTTTGAGTTTGAGTTATATATCATGTGGGATTCGGGGAAGAAAGGGGGTGGAAGAGAGAGAGAGAAAGAGATCAGAAAAATAACCGAGAGGATTTCTAGATGATTAGGGGGTGAGGAAGGAGGTAGATTGGGGTTGGGGCTTGGGGTTTGGGTTTGGGTAGCGAGGAGAGTGAAGTAAAGAAGATAGATAGATAGAGAACCTCTAATTTTTTCGAATGATAAGGATAAGTTATTTGGTTATTTATTACATGTATTGAGATTACCCGTGGACTGGACTGGACTGGAGAGTTCACTTCTGGTGATGTGGAAAATAAGTATCTAGATAAGTAGGTAAGGAAGGAAAGAAGGAAGGAAAAATGGAAAGATGGAAAAGATATCGATCTAAATCTCGTGATTTTACTCACTCACCCATATACATACACGAATATAAAATAGTACTTCATAAACCCCAAACACAAACCCCCAAATCCCTCAAGAAATTTCGTTACACATCTACTTCCATGCCCAGCATATAGCGTGATACCAAGAGTCATGCATATGTGTGTGGTACTCTGTACCCAGGTGATACTACCTAGTACCTTCTCATGATTCTGCGCGTGCATATTGGTTAGAAAAAGGGGGGCATCTGTTTTTTTGCGTATCTGTATTTGTGCCCAGATAATCTGGCGTCGTGGTAAGGACTTGGGGGTTGGATTTGGGGTGTGAGGAGTTTGTAGATGTATGTGTACTAGGTATTTCAAGGGGATTTGTTGCATATCGCTTTTCGTGCCCAGTATGCACAGTGGACTGGCGGAATGTGGTATCACTACTTAAGTCTCTTGGTTTTATGTAGAACGGTGTGAGATTCCAGAGAGAGGGTTTTGTTGCATGTCTGTTTTTGAGCCCAGAGTTTAGTGTGGTACTAGGGGTGTGGTGATTCGGTGTACGTGTATTTGGAGAGCTTTTGTTGCATATCGGTTTTCGTGCCTAGAGACTTTGGCGTGAGACAGAAATTAAGATTCGAGTACGAGATTTTGCCTAGAGGATCGGGTGTTGTGGATAGAGGTTTGAGGGCTTTTGTTGCATATCGGTTTTCGTGCCCAGTGTGCCCAGAGAGCTGGGCGGAATGTGGTATAATACTTGAGTATCTTGGTGTAATCAGGAATGGCATGTAGATGCTTTTGTTGCATGTCGGTTTTTATGCCGAGAGAATCGAGTGTATGAGTTTATAAGAATTGAGGCCATCGCTCACCGCACAGGTAACACTTTTCTAACTAATATATAAGATTATTCATCTTTTTATACCCTAGTTTCTTTACTATAATAAAGAATTAAATTAATAACTACATTATAAAAAGATTTACAATTATTAAAATATTTAAAAAAAATATATCATTTATTTTAAATATTTTTAGAATAACATTTTTAAACAATTAAAATTAGAAATTTAAAGAGTTTGAAAAATTCGTTTATTTTATATAGAACAAACATTACAAGTTAAAAATTCTGATTTTTTCAATTTAAAGTTTTTATAATTTTTTAATAAAAATATTTAAAAATATTTAAAAAATAAATAAATTTTTATATATATATATATAATAGTTTAAATTATTTATGTAATTTTTTTGTAATTTAATATTGATAATTAAATTAATTATATAATATTTTAATTTGTATAGAAAGATATGAATTTTGTAGGGATTATATTACAAAAACGTCACGGTATGCAATGAGAGATGGCCATAACTCTTATATCGAGGACTGGTTACATATCTATATTTATACCAATGCTTCGTCACCTTGACACAAAGGTACTAAATATGGTGATATGAATGATAATCTGAGTGCGCAGTCTGTCGACTCGAGGGTTTTGTTGCGTATCGTATCTCATGCCCAGAGGAGCCATGTCTTGGTCTGTATACCGGAGATTTCTTTTTGCATGAAGTTTAATCTCATTTTCACACAGCATAGTCCTTATGATACTCTAGCATGATAAATCTATCGATCAAGAGTCTTGTTGTTGCATATCGTCAATCTTGCCCAGAAAATCAGCCATGTTATCACTGGTTCATCTCTCCCTCAAAAGAAACGTTGCATATCTTTCTCCTCGCCCAGATTCTTGGTCTACGTATTCGCCAATATCGTGGTGTCATACCAAACCCCTCTCTGTATGCCGCGGATATCGCGGGTACTATTTGACAACTGAATCACATTGTTGCACATCTGAATTCTTGCCCAGGAACCTAGAGACTTTGGTGACCTCGCCAATTTCTTGGGTGTGCGACCAAGATCCTCGGATATAAGTTTTCGGGAATAATCAGGGGGAGAATCGGTATTGGAAGGCCTTTTGTTGCATGTCTGTTTTTCTTGCCCAGAGGACCTAAGATGCTAGTCTGTGTCTTGGTGTTGTGTGGAAAAACTTTTGGAAAACTTTAGAAACCCGAGTTGGACGAGCTGCTTGGCTATTTTTCCGTCCTCGGTACCGAGATGAACCCAAGATTATGGAGAATCTTGGAAGAAGAGATAGGCTTTTTGGGAACGGGGCATTGGAAATTGCTGGACTAACTTTGGATCTGGTGGTTGATAACACAGAGTACATTGACTGATATATATATACAGACATACATATATATATACTCCCTATCAATTGTATCACAATATTCAAAATTCGACAAAGAAAACAACAATACACCTTCGACACCCACGCCAAGATTTACCCTTGACGATCAAGAAAAAGCAAAAAAAGGAAAAAAAATCTTCAAACCTCCGAAATGACCGGCAAATAAGATAACCCCAAGACGCCGGCCGGGTATCCAAGATCAAAACGCAAAGACGAGCAAAGACTTAGTGTAAGCTGGGCAAAAATACAGACGTGCAACAAAAGCAGCAAAAACAAGGCGAAAAAATCACGAGAAGAGGAGGTGAAGGTGGACGCAAAAATACGACTTGGTACTAGCCTCGAGGTTTGTGTTTCAAACGGTTGGAAGAAGCTTGGGGTCTGTCGAACATCAAACGTGCCCAGATATGTACCGAGGCGGACGCCGATGCCCGAGAAATGCGATGGATGGTACTTACGATGCAGAGTCTTTGAATCAACTTTGTGACTATCGAGGATTTGCTTGGCGCATATGTGATTTGCCAATTGGTTTCAGGGCATTACTCGTGTTTGGTTTGGAAATTGTTGGTAGCGTTCAATAATCTGTCTCTCGAGAACTCTGTTTCTGACACCACCACACTTGTGTAGGTAGGTGTACATGTAATCTTACTATCAGATAAGATGAGGGATTCAGGTAAGCGGATGGATAGATGGATGGTGGAGAATCCAAGCCAAGCTCCCAACTTCCCAAGCAAGCAAAAGTTGCAAAATGTCAAAAGAAGGTTTGTAGGCACGATGGACCGAAATTACTCTACGGGAACCTGACGAGTGGAAGTCGAACAACGTTTTGTTCAAGAGTACCGGGGATGTATCATGTATCATGTATCTGGATTCTGGATGGATTCATTCTGCATTGGTGGGCGGAAATTTAAAGTTACTGTACAGTGTACAGACTATTGCTAATGAATTTCCGGGGTATGAAGGATCTTCTTAAGTGTTTGCTTCCCCGAGATTTTGAGGCCATTCTTTGATTTATTGAGATTCTTACATCATATTCAATTTGTCCATTTTGATTCGTCGTCTTCAACATCAACATCACCAGTATCAACACAACTCTCATCCACAACCCCTCTCTCAAACCCCTCCATCAAAACCCCCAACCCCAACCCCAACCCCAACCATGGTCTCCCCCATCCCCACCCTCCTAACCACCCAATTCCTCTTTTCCCACCTCCTCCAATCCGCGCGTCTCCCCCGACTCATCCTCCACAAAACCTCCAATGCCGCCCCACGACAAGATCTCGCCCGATTTCCCCCCAAAGATCTCTCCCCCTCCACCATCAACATGCTTTTGCGCTGGGAAGCCGCCCAGCAAAACGCTCTAGATAATTTCCCCCTCTTTGCTGCGGCAATCCTCTTTGCATCTTTCAGAGGCGTCTCCGAAGACACCATTGCGAGCGTGGGTTGGTCCTATGTGGGGGTCCGATTGGCGTATTGGGTTGCGTATGTGGGAACCGAGAGTGTGAAGTGGAGTTATGTGAGAAGTAACATTTGGTGGGTGGGAAATGGACTTTGTTTTTGGTTGTTGAGGGAGGGGGGTCGGGCTTGAGTTTTTAGATGAGGAGGAAAGGAGATTGAAATTGTAGCTGTATGGGTGGAAGAGGAAACGATTAAAGGTTGTGAGATGCAGGACAGTGCTCTGTAGAGATACAGAAAAATGCCTATAGCATACACTTTTTTCGTCTTTTGTATATTGCTTCATGTTGTAGCAATCTCGAAAATTTAAACCCATTTCTGTCATGTCATGTCCTGAAATATCGAATGTTCAGAAATTTACAAATGCAAGGCTATTAACGTGATTAAATATCTACCAATACCTAGGTATGCATATATTTAAATCCCATAGTGAACCAGAAGACACTATTATACATAAAAGGTATCCCAATAAACCAACCCAGGGTATCATTACAAAAAACCAACGGTATCTAGAAATACCAAAAGAAAAAGTTAGAAAAACCTGCTACTTCCACTGTCCTCGCTTACTTATGTCAGGTCTTCTCCTTTCCGTATTGATATACAGAATATTTCATCCACCCGACCCCGCTGGCAACACCCGCTACACCCCAATCCACACCCCATTAAACTTCATAGTAATAATCCTCATCTAACCCCTCCCGACTCGGCACTTTACCCTGTCCTACCTGGGGACCTCCATACCCATTTCCTTCATCTAACCTAACATTCAAAAGTCTAATCTTTAATCCATACTCGCTAACCAAGCTCACAAGTTTATTGGTCTCACTAGTAATCGCGGCCTGGTTCAACAACATTAACAAACCATCCAACCATTCCGAAGCAAGACTATGTGTAGGAGGCATGAGTGTAAGAATAGCTTTCTCAGCCGGATCTGTATCATCTTGCTGTGCTTTAGTCTCTGTGACGTAGCTATTGATAGTAATTTTGGTGGTGGTATTTGCTTTCGATGGATTTGTATCTTTGGGGGTCGAGGAGCTGGAGATACTTGAACCGTCATCATGGGACGCGGAGACATTGGAAACGACTGAACTAATGGTACTCAAGTCAATCTTTTCAAGCAACTGATCAAGTGTCGGCTCTTTACTCAATTGATGGTCAAAATCGAAATAATGAAGATAACGCCGATTGTGTGAAAGTTTGACATAACGCCAACTCGTTGTTGGTATTTTTCCTCCTAGACTTTTGGTAGAAGATGATCCTTCTTCGCTAACGGTTTTCGGATGAATAATTCTTGGAAACCATGCTCCTTCAAGCAGACATCTTATTCTCTGTTCCTTGACAAATAAAAGAGCTTCATGTTTAAGCTCATCTCGCACTTGCTGTAAATGTTGACCCCATTCGTCTTCGAAAGTCAATTCCAACAACTCCATTTGTAGCTTTCGTAATTTCGAATATTCGAATTCTGCCAATTCTTCTTCTACCTCTAGAACATCTTTTGTTCTTGAAGCTTGACCAACCACTTGCTCAACCAACAAAGCGTACAAGTTCCGCAACTTTTATGAAGTCATCCTGCTCAGCACCAGTAGCTTTTCCTAACCTAAAGAAAGCTTGCAAACTCGCCGAGTGTAGCCTTGACCACTGGAGTAGTAGAGGCCGGAATATCTTATCATAATTCTTTACTCCGTCCAATACCAAATAAGTTTTCGCATCCTCTGCATCTGATTTGTCGACCTCGAAATGGTCATACAAGATAGATGTAACTATTAGACTAGCCCTTGCAATAGGACATCTCTCATTAATGGCTTAGAAGATTGCTCTAACAAAGCTTTTGAATCCGTCCTTCATTTTTCCTGACGTAATCGGTCAAATCCATCATACCAAGAAATCCGGTCGCTTCGAACTCCCAAGCAGGACTTTCGGTCTCGAAGCCCAACCTTCTCCACTTTTCAGGATTGTGTTTCCGACTCCCCTTTTTGTCGCCATTCTCTAAAGTATCTACCTTCTCTGAAGCGCCATTGCTAAGATCTTTCTTTTCGGGTGCGCTGGCTAGATGTAGTCCCTTTAGTGCTCGTCGATGTTCTGGTCTTTCCAAATCCACCTTCACCTCCTTCCATTTACCCAACATAACCTTGGTCAAACTTTGAAAGTCCAATAGCGGATGCGACAAATCCTGTAATGCCGAGCTTTGCATCAAATTATATGCAGCTTTAATAACCCCCAAATCTTGTAAACGTTTGATGAATTTTGGCCACTCCTCTCCCGTCCCGCTACTTTTACTAACATTATCCTTTCCCTGTCCGTTATCATTTGTAATCGAATCTCGCATTAATGCATTTAGCAGCATCAGTGCATTTGCACAAAGTAAATGATCCGCAGAATTCAGTTGGGAGACTACCATTTCGAAGAATTGAGGATAAACCGCGACGGCAGGTTTCAGAGCTCGAAATCCAAATGCGCCAGGTATTTTTATACGCCCCCCTGAAGATTGTGGATGGCTCACAATAGCAACCAATATCGACATGGCTCCTCGTAGAATGTTAACCAGTGGGTGCGTAACGATCAATTCGACAACGCGTTCGACCAATTCCCCGGCACCTGGTGACTCGAATATTTCCCAACCCATATCGACTTCCAGTAGGCGACTCAGACTTTGTAGGGAGTATGCGAGAGTATTCGCATTGGTCGTCATGATCAGTCGACGCAGGATAGTGAGGCCCCCTGAGGAAATGAACACATCTGCGAATGATGGATCATTAATGGAAGATTGTAGCTTAAATACTGCCATTTTGCGCATAGCATCTTCATCGCTATTGAGCCTCGAGAGCAACGAAGGTATATCTGCTTGATCCATTTTAATTGTTGTGTCTTGTACTTTCGAGATCGATGAAGCTGGGGAAATCTGGAGAGTTTAGTCAAGGCGCAATTGGCTTTTGATATCCCCCGATTTTCAGTTATTCGACAGTCACATTTGCTTAAACCTTTGCCAAAATTAATACAGATTCTAGGTGTCGTGTCTTTTTCCCTCGAGGGAGGGGGTCACAATAGTGTGAGGAGATTAAAAAATTACGGGTGCATTAAAAGTATAAAAGTACCAAGGATCCGAATCATTGGAGAAAGTTGGGTTTAGTCTGTGCTTCAATGGCTTTTGAGACTTGATAACGGCAGGTACTCTCGGTGCCGGAAACTTAAAAGCCCCAAAGCCGCCTTGTCATTCACCAATGAACTACGTACGATATACAGAGTATATTTTGGTGCATTTGAGTGAGGGGTTAAGAATGGGACAATTTGACGATAATCATACAATCATATAATGCAACCTTTGAGCAATCGATCTGAACAGTCAACACATTAGGTACCTAGGTGCGCAAGATGCAATTTTTTGCCGATTTGTCATTCAAGCTATGGATTCCCTTAATATGATCCACAAGTGTCCCAGATATTTCACGCTACACAGTTGAAGATGCCAAAACTCCATCGCTGATGTCATATGCTACTGTATTTCATAACTTAGAGCAACCTTCTCACTGATCATCCTCGTCTTCATCCATCAAACTCAAGCAATCCAACTCTGTTCGAATCAACCTGTCAAATTCGGCCCTCTCAATCCCTGATACTTTCGCCAATCTGTAGAGACTCTTCACACTTGTCGAAATATGTTGTTTGATGCCAACCTCGCTCTGTTCCCGAGCGTGTGCTCTCTTCTCGAGTTTTGCCACTGTCTCACTCCCACTTGAGCTAGTTCTACTTCCTGGTCGTGGTTGTACAACTTCAACATAATCCCCCTCATTGATGATCCCGCTACTAGACTCTGACCATGGTTTCGCCTCATGAGGTGATCTGTGATGTTGTAGATTTTGTTGTAGCGTGGAAGTTCTTTGATCATCTTGGACCAAGAGACGTTCGACGGTATGTACCATTTTGTGCTGCCTCGTCTGGATCATGGCTATCCATGGCAGGTTGTACATCCGCATATGTTGCGTAGTATGAGTCTTCATCATCTGCACTCCTCGAGACGTTTTGCATAGAATGGGGTGCGGGAGAATGTTTTGGTGCGGGCGTACGAGCGGGCGTGTTGTCGTACTGAGCCCAGTAATCATCATCATCGTCATTCTCTGCCTCGGTATCTTTAGCTGCATTCGAGACCACTTGAGAGGACTGCTGTTTGTCTGTGTAGATGTTTTCGAAGTCCCCGATGTAAAGGCGGTTTCTGCAGAAGCTATGTCTTTCTTTCCCCATTCTTCTTGGGTTTCAGATTCGTATGCTCCCACTTCTCCAATCCTCCATCCATCACCACCGCCGAGTTCATCACCAAACACACCAATACAAGTCGTGCACTTAAAGCAAGATCTCTAAGTACAACTAGAGCTTGTAAGGTCTCTTCATCGAGTCGTCGATATTGGATTTCCACCTCACTCTCCCAATCAACCTCAACCTCACCAGAAACGGGATGTGCTTCTAATCTGTCATTTTTTATAGCTTGTTGTAATTTCGAGACGTTTGAATCATCGTAGCAGAGTAATGGCAGCCATGGCTCGTTCGAAGTCGAAGATAATATTTGGACTCTCTGACGTAAAATCGGCGAAAGTAGAGGAAGCAGCGCCGTTGGAGGTTGAGGAGATACAGAAGCCGCGGGTAGAGATGCCAACAGGGGCGATAATAATTGCTCTGCTCTGGGAGCTGAAATAGTTGTTGACATTCTGACAAGGTTGATATTGATGTGTTGTTAGGTGACTGTCACATGCAAATGACATTTACTTTGACGAGGGGTGTTAATGGCAATTGTAAGAGTTTTGGACTGGGTGAAAGGACAGTTCAAAACACTTGGAGATTTGAATAACGACAACAACACCACAGTACAGGAAGAACTCAGATTGATGAAATAAATAAAAACAAACTTAATCTCATCAACTAAGATATACCATCTAGAAGTTCTGTGAGAAACAGCTGCAGTGTTGAAAGCCATAATTGAATTGTGATACGGCGAGGATAAACTGACTGAATCAGTTTCCTTCCGCCCGAGAAAGAGAGAGATTGGTACCGCAAATCTCGCATACGCCACGTGAATTCTGAGGCTTGTTTAGTCGCGATGCATTGATGTCGTTTTCATCCATCCGTTCTGTCCATTTATCCTTTTTATCATTTCTCTAGCTATTTTACCCCCTTGAAGTAATTTCTTTTACGGAGTAGAATTTGGTAGATATGGGTAATTCACGGTACTCATTATGTATTCTATGTCTATTTCTGCCAATCCATGGTTGTCTAAAAGTCTATTGTACCCCTCAGAATCACTACAACCGTCTACCTCTCTACAGACTCCACTGCTCTTATGTACTCTAAAACACCCTTAAATCACTTTGAAAGTTCCTGGGATTTCTCCCATTTCAGTAAAATTCCAAGAACTCGTTCGTATGTCCACATAGTAACGGCACTTGCTGGAGCAGACTTGAAAAGACTATTGATATTAGCACCAGAAGATCCTAAATTGTTCTTTCACATACCTGACCGTCAATCCTCGATAGAGCCCTCTATAGCCCTCATTGTGTAATATGTGTCGCATTGTTTGAAACACACCGTTGTAAACTGGGATGTTCTTGTGAACGTATCTTTCTCTTGTTGGTCCCTGGACTTGCAACCTCTTCCGAATCAAATCAAAAGGAAATATGCCAGTTTTTGCTATGACTGAAGCTATAACCCCGGCACTCGCATCCGCGGATCCAAAGGGCATGTTTAGAGTTCCCATCGGGAGACGGAGACTCTCGTATGTGGCGAAAAAAATACCCATATATGGTATGATTTGCCCAACGCCAGCACCCAGTCCTTGAAAGAAGCCTCTCGGCCCTTCATTAATGGCGATATCACGGATCGACGATCGGAGAGAAGTGTATACCCTCTCAACGCCTTGTGCAGCGAATCGTGTGCGGAGTAAATCAAGAGGATAAGTTGCGGTCGTAGCAACAGCTCCTGCAGATGCTCCAGCAATAAAGCTTTCAGCAGCAGCTGGTAGTCGATGCTCCCCAAAAGCGTCTTGTAGGCCCAGCGTAACAGATCTATATGTCGTGAATTGGATCGCACTGTACGAAACATACATCAACTCTGCTGGAACATTCCCCTTCCATAATGCCGACAACCCTTCCTCTCGAAAGATACGTTTGATCGTCGGAATCGTCCCTTTATAGATTGGAGATCCTCGCAAATCCCGATGTGAAAGAGGGTCGGATGCAGAGTGCGATTGCAATTGAAGGCGAATTTTAACAACATCCAAAGGAGCAATCACGAATCTGATTGAAAGATATGAGCGCAAATAGTTTTAATCTCGACCAATTGTAGATTTACCTAGCAATCAAACCAGCTGTCGCACCAGCTATCATTGATTGGGTCTTGGAGCCCTAGATAAGTATCAGTCCCTGATTCTGTGAGACACAAGTAACAATTGTAAAATCTTAAACCTCACCTCATCCTTCAGATGCTCGGCGCTTTCAGACATACATCTGACGTTCTCGAAGTAGTATTATTAGAGTTTGACGTTTGAAAATAAATACCAATCCACACGCCTATTTGCACACAGGGGGGGTATAGAAGTAGAAAATCAACAAATAATAAAAGCACACTATGTTAAAAGAAGGTTAGCGGCAGCTACCTTGATCTGGTGGGTCACCGGAAGGACGATTACATAATTGAGCTTGTCAAAATCGTCCAAGCTCCAAGCTCCATTTGATCAATCATGTAGCTTGGTGGAGGGCTCACGTGGCATTGAAGCTATAATCACCTCGGCAAAGGCTGATTGATATATGTTTCCTCGGTGAAGAATAAGTTCGCATATCAGTATTGTTCAATTCTCATTCATCAGGCGATCAATCCTTCACTCGCGCCGTGAAAGAACGAAATTTCAAATATGAGTGCCTTGCGTCTGGGTCTGAACTGTGGTCACCGAGCTGCCAGATCATGTTGCTTTCTAGCTGCCCCGCGCATCTCTCAAATTAGTCGAAGGCTATTTTCAGCTCAACCAGGTCTCCGGATCACATCTCCCACATCCAAGCAGACACGTGTTCCACAGGTATTCTTGAGCACCCCTGGCGATCGACTAAGATTTATGTTAACCTGAGTCAGGATGTAAAATCCTCTTCCAGCCCTGAGATTATATCTCATGACATTCAGGCCATAAAGATCAACGGTGTATCTTATCCTCCATTGTTCCTCCGCGATTCTTGTACCTGCCATAGATGCGTTGATCCTTCCACAAAGCAAAAGAATTTTCAAACTTCTGATATTCCTTCTAATATCAAAGCTACCGCTACCACAAAGGGCGAAGACGGGGATTTAACAATTTCTTGGGAAGACGATATTCCAGGCTACGGACCAGATCATGTTTCGTCGTTCTCTAAGAAGTTCTTTGAGACCCATTCTTCACTCAAGGCTTATCATTCCGATCGTCACAATGATGTAAAACCTATCAGATGGGATTCGAAAACCATTGCTCAGAAGTTGCAATATGTAACTTTTGATGACTACATAAACAGTGAAGAAGGTTTATTCAGAGCTTTGATCATGCTTCGGGATTATGGGCTACTCATACTTAGAGATGTACCAGAGTCAGAAATTTCAGTTGTTGATATTGCAAAGCGCATTGGCAATCTTCGGGACACTTTCTACGGAGTTACCTGGGATGTCAAGTCTGTTCCTCAACCTAAAAATGTAGCATATACTTCTCAATATCTGGGGTTACACATGGATCTTCTCTATATGGCTAACCCCCCGGGATTTCAATTTCTTCACTGCCTGCGGAATACCTGCTCAGGCGGCTCATCCATCTTTTCTGATGCTTTCCACGCTGCCAGACAACTCGATAAAGATAATTACATTCAATTGAGTACTAAGAAGGTTGGCTACCATTATCGCAATGCTGGGGAGCATTATCACTATAAACATCCTGTAATATCGAAACACTCAGAGAATGGTGGGAACGCTTCATCCCCCAATGACAACAACATTCAATACGTCAATTATTCGCCGCCATTTCAAGCGACATTTGACGAGCCATTTGGCTCCCTACCAATAGCTAAAGCATTGAGGCAATTTGCATCCAGAGTAGAGGCACCTGAAAACATGTATGAATACAGACTACAAGAGGGGGAATGTGTTATTTTCAACAACCGGAGGGTACTTCATGGCAGAAAAGAATTCGATACATCAGTTGGGGAGAGATGGTTTAAAGGGGCTTATATCGACACCGACGTCTTCAGGAGTCGTTATCGAGTTTTAGCCGAAAAGTACCAGAATAAAGATCAGGCGTTTCTACGTACTCATGCTAGGCACATTTGCTGGGATATCAAAAACCCCGAGACTGGCAGAATGGAAAGCGATCCACATAAAGTTTGGAAGAGAAGTAGAGATCTTCCACAAACTGAGGCGTATGCAAATATTATCTAGGGACAATCGAAACTTCTCGAGAAGCCCACAAAATTCTGCAGTGCAGTCACTCAATGAAGAGTATTCGCCGTTCGAGTTATATGTTCATGTTGCATATTTGTTCTGAAAGAGATTTGGAATGTGGAGTTCACTTGGGACTCTAAAAATTACCCAGACATTCCGGGTTTCCAATGTTAAAAAATTATCCAGATTTAGAATGAGGTTCGGACTACAGAAAACCTAATTGGGGTTTGAAAGTATTAGTCTTCCGAGTTGTATGTCGCATGTCTGCATTCGCATTCTGTCGAGTCTTTAGTATACCCCTGAACCTAAAAGCTGTCCTTTGGCCATGCACACTTCTAAAGCTTTGCGAATTTATATTTTACTGCATTATGACATGGATATTGTCACCAACCTATTTCCAGAAAAACATACCACATTGTTGGTGAAGCATTACAATTTGTTGATTTTATGAGTTTTGTATATGTAGTGTCTCCTTGTGTCTAAGTTCACTGTATCGCCTCATTTTGATACCTTACCTTCCTTCAACATCCCAATTTTTTTATTAAATTTTTTTTACCCGCATCTTTCCATCGTTCTGCCTGTTTTAGTACATTGCCTCTTTGCAATTTTCTATCATTTTGTTGAAATGCAGTTTGCATCTTGTTTTGTGTTACCATGTTGCAAATTTGGCTTTCATAATTTGAGGATTGTATGTTTTGATGCTAGACAATCTGTTGGTTGAATCGTTGGTTTTTGTGGGATGCCTCATCTCTATTATTACAGGAAACTTCCGGTTAACTGTCACCAACTCGCTTACAGCTAGGAGAGCGAATAGCTTTGAAGTTCTGCTGGACGGTGTACCTCAAGAGTAATATCAATTAGAATGCTGGGCCCAACAGCCGAAATAAGGGTGCGTTTGGATAGATTTATTTTAAATTATTAGGCCTTATTAGACCTCATTTATTATTACATACTTCTTTCGAAATATAATATAGTTAAGTGTAATTATAAGATTTATAATAAGGAATTACTAATTATCATTAAGTTTTTAGAAAAATGGAGATTCGAATTATATGGAATCCAGAAGTTATTCGAAATTATTATTGATTATAAGAATCTAGAGTACTTTATATCAATAAAGATACTGAATCAAAGACAAATTAAATAAACTGAATTTCTATTTGGCTTTAATTTTCATATTATATACTATCCTGACTATAAGACAGTTCGCCCCTAATATATTAAGTTGAAAGACAAAAAACCATTCTGTTTATACTAATTCCAATA